AGAGGTAAACATTTACATAACAAAAGCCGTTCAGTGTTCAGCAACTAGACCCACCCAACCATCAATCATAACAAAGGTCAGAGAGAAAGTAGAGTTGGTCATGTAAAATAAATTCTGCTGTTATCAATGCAAGGATCCTTGACTAACATTATAACTGGACAGCTGGGAGAAATTATATGCTACAAAAGTGTAAAATACGACCCTTTAAACTCAACATAATTTGCTCTGTTGCATCCACCCACCCAGCCTGCGCTACTGAAGCTTCCTGCTGTACTGCTCGATCGTCATGGTAACCCCTGGCAGGTCTCCGCTTTTCCTCCTTGGCCCTGCTAAATTTGGGAACAATCTGGAAGACGTTAAATGTTAAATGACTCTCCTTCATCACGCCTGCTGAAATGTTAAATGAATATTTAAATGAAATGAAGAAATACCTATTATACCTTCAATCAAATGTCAAATTTGCTTTGGGGTTCTCTATACAATAATTTACTACAGTGAAATTTCTGTAGAATTGACTTTGAAACAACTTTCACCTAGAAATTGCTAGCAAATACTTACATAGAAATGGCAAGCAACACACTGAATTAAACATGACATTTTGAAGTAGAAAGACTGAAATACTATATGCTTGTAAACATACTCCAATAATCTTTGTTTGTTTTTTTACAGTGTACGTTGAAAAAAAATGGTGTAGAATCAATTTACTTTGAAACTGAATTAAATGTGCAATTTTTAAGTAGAAAGACTGAAATTGTATTTTCTTGTAAAATGTACTCCAATAACAACTGAAAAATCATAGATACAGGAATCATAAATTCTAGCAAAATAGCATAGTTACTGCTGTAAAATCATAGTAAATTAATAAAGAAGATTGGTGTAAACTATGATAAAAAAGTATGGAAGCCCGTTTCTGCCACAGAATTAAAAAATAAAAAGGTAATTGTGACTTTTTAATCGCACAATTCTGACCTTTTCCCCACAATTATGAGTTTATATGTCGCAATTCTGACTGTTTCTCTCAATTCTGACTTTTTTCTCAGAATTCAAAATATATAATAAAAATAATATTTAAAAATTAATCATATGTAATATATAATTATTATAATTTAATAATTGATATTAGTAATATTTATATTATTAATTATATATATATATATATATATATATATATATATATACATTTACATTTATAAAATAATTACATTTTGTAAAATATAAATAAAATAAAATTATAAAATAAAATATTATATAAACACAGAATTCCTTCTTTTTCTTTTTTATATCTCACAAATTCAGATTTTTTTCCCCCTAAAATTCTGAGTTTATATCTCGCAATTATTTTTTTGTTTCTGTCACAGAATAAAAAAGGTTAATTGCGACTTTAAAGTAAGATAAAAAGTCACAATTATCTTCTTTTTAACATTTTTTTTATTCTGTGGCGGAAACTGTCTTCCGTAAAAAAAAAAAAGAAGTGTTTTTTAAACCCTTTAAAATGAGTATTCAAACCAAGAAAGCTGTTTTGTGTGTATTTTCCAGGATACTGCCGGGCAGGAGAGATACCGCACCATCACCACGGCGTACTATCGTGGAGCCATGGGCTTCATCCTCATGTACGACATCACTAACGAGGAGTCGTACGGAGCCGTGCAGGACTGGTGAGTGACCCAGAGCCGTGTGGGAGCAGGAGATGCGATCGCAGCCAAAATCCCTGGACAAATCCTCACGGCCATACAGTGATCACGCAGAGCCGCTTCTGCTGTATTTGAAGCATTTCTGCATAACAGATTGTGTGTGTGTGTGTGTGTGTTAGCAGAACAAAACTGCAGTGTTTAAGAGAACTGTATGTCAGTTATTGTTCCACCAACACAAACGCCGTGAGTCTGACAGCCCGGAGGAAAGAGAAAACGCTGAGAAAAATATCTCATTACAGTGCTTTAGTGACTCATTATAAGGCTTAAAATAATAGCAGTAGGCTTTTGCACAGAACTTTAAAGATATTAAACCTGAAATAGCATTATAGTAATATATTATATAATTTTTTTAATTTTGTAATATCAAAGAAGAATTTGCAGAGCATTAGTAATGACAAATGGAAAAATATTTAGAGGGAAACAATCTAGTACAGAGAAACTGAACTTTTATGTGTGTGTGTGTGTGTGTGTGTGTGTGTGTAGTGTATATTTATTATGTATATACACACACATGCGGTATATATTTTGAAAATATTTACATGTATTTACATGTCTATATTTATATTCATATAATGTATATTATAAATAAATATAATATATAAACATAACATATTTTTCTGAAATATATACATGCATGATGTAGGTATTGTAATATTTTGCTCTGCTCAGTGTTTCACACTGACTTCAACTTTAATAATGTTTAATAACTTTAATAATAATATATTCCTGAGTAAAACAGAAAATTAAATTAAGTGGGAAATAATGTAAAGTAGGACTTTATTTTGATTCATTTGGACCATGAAATGTAGGTCATGATATTATTAGTTAGTATTATTATATTTCTTATTCAGAATTATGATTTTTATTTTGATTCATATTATTATTTAATGATTTTTTTCTTAAGTATAGGTATGTCTTTTGTGGTGGAGAAAGTATATTCTGATAAGAGGTTATGAAAACAGACAGTAAACTAAAAACTTTTATATATAATGCATTGTAAATTTTAATGCATTAATTATGCCTTGTAATGCACCTTATAATGCATTGTATGATCTCATGAATTATTATAACCACATTTAAAATACATTTTAATACTTCTCAAATGACTGTTACACCTTTATAAAGTTTAATGCATTAAAACTCATGACAAACAAACTATTATAATGCATTTTAACTTCGGTTACAATTATTTATAAAAAGATAGAATGCATTACAACGTAGATTATGAATACTTTATAATGCATTATACATGAAGGCTTTAAGAGGTGTTACCAAACAGACTTACACTGATGATTCGTTCACAATAAGACGAAGAGAGTCAATCTGGTGGACTAAACGGCCCTCTGTGAGCAGTTAAAGAGACCTTAGAGGAAAAGTGGCATCATTGAGTCTTCAGGAATCCATCTGGTTAATATTTAATAAGAGTCATTTAAATTTCTCTTAGTATTAAAGGGCAGCAGGGCTCGGTTCAGGGCTTTATGAATGCCGCCCTGTTGATCAGCTCAGCTGGGCGTTCGGCTGTGGTCAGTGAGCAGAGGTTGATTTAATTAGCGTGAGAAGACAGACTAATGAACATCCTGATAGGAGGCTGAGGAACGGGAACAGAAGGAATATAGCGGAGAAAGACGACCCGAGGTTTATGACGTTATTAAGCAGAAATGAGACCTGAATTTACTGAAAGGACAGAGCTGCAGAGGTGAATTTGCAGTTGTACTGCTTCATCAGCAGATAAAGTAGTAGCTCACTCAGAAATTAAATTCTGTCATCATATTGATGCTGATCTTTTCCGTAGAATAAAAGTAAATGACAAAAATCTGGCACCATAAAAGTCTGAAATGAGTAAATGATTGCAAAACATTTAACAAAAAGCAGAATGTTCTCTCAAGAAGCTTTAATTAAGTGAACTGGTTTTAAAAAAAATTAATCATTCAATTAAATAGTTTGATTATTACTAAACTAGTATTACTAGTATTACTTGGTATTACTAAACTATTCTAATAAAATATACATTTTAATGTTTTAAAAATAAATGTGATATTATTAATAATGATAAATGTTAAATTACTAAATATTTATTTATTTATTAAATGTATTTAAATATATATTAATATATTAAATTGATAGAAAGCGTTTAGTTTTTTCAACATTTAGTAATAAACAATATTATATAATTGAACTTGAAATTTTTAATTATTTAGATAGTTTATAAATAAATATTTAGCTAAATGCTTCACTATATTTTTTTATTATAAACTGGAGTGTTTTAGTTTTATCTGTTTGTATTTATCTATTTATTTAGATGTATTTCATGTAAATGTACATTTATGAATGAAAAATTACAATGAGTTTTCACTCATAAATAGCTACTTTTTGTTAGTAATTTGTCACGTTGCTTTCTAGATTTTCAGAAAAAAAATAGTAGCTTGACTGTAGTTTAACTCCTTGAAATGATGAGTAGCCTGTAGTTCTGCAAGCTAAAGAGTCAAAGGACTAGTCACAGTTTATCTTATCGTAAGAAATGAGCTCAGAGAAGAAGCGGAGTCTGGTGATACTCGAGACTCCAGCTGCGGTCAGTGAACTGACACCTAATTAAACCAGACGGATGCTGGGGAAGCACAGAAACAACTCTTACCACAGTCTCTGCAGCATCGCTACGACACACATGACCAAACACTGTAATGTGTCGTCAGGGCCGCATTAAGACCGCACTGGGCCCCAGGGCTATGACTTACTGCAGGGCCCCCCATCACAATAATGATA